TGTCACCCTCACTGTCAAAAAGTGTTTTCTCAAGTTCCTGTGGAACTTTTGGTGCCTCAGCTTGTGGCTGTTTCCTCTAGTCCTATCGCTGGCCACCACTSRAAAGAGGCCGCCCCCACCTCCTCACTGCCTCCCTTGAGGTATTTATAGACACTGAYCAGGYYCCCCCTCAGCCTTCTCTTCTYCAGGCTGAACAGGCCCAGCTCYCTCAGCCTTTGCTCATAGGGCAGATGTTCCAGGCCCCTGAWCATCCTTGTAGTCCTGCGCTGGACTCTCTCCAGCAGCACCACATCCSTCTTGGGATGTGGAGCCCAGAACTGGACACAGTTCTCCAGGTGTGTTCATGTCCTGGCTGGGAGGGTGCTGCTCCGCTCTGCTGCGCTGCCGCGGCCGCATCCTGCAGTCTTYGCTTTGTAGCGCGCTGCCGGCTCCCACTGGAAGCTCAGGCAAACCCGTGGGCTGGATGCAGGATCAGCCTCCTTGGCTGTACCATACCAGGTACCATTGGCTGCTAAAGCAGATGCATATTTAACAGCTACATATGCATAATCTTAATATACTTTTGAGTCCACTTCTCACACAGGAGAGTGTTGGGAATAGCTCTCCTGATACAGCTGTGATGCCCCCAGTCTAATTTGGATGCAGTAATTAGGAGGTTTGAGGAAAATGGAGTGCTGAAACCTTAATTTCTGTGTTTATTTCCTTTCAGTTTATTTTGTTGCCRGGCATATTAGCATTAAAATAGTGTTTTATTTTTAGGAATAGATCTTTTCCTCCTGATACTCCCCTGCCCAAGCTGTGACACCCTGTAGAAGCTGCCTGGGTGGAAAAGCTTTATGCAAATAAGAAGGAAAGAAAAAAGGCACAAAATGTATCAGTCGTTGTATGAGGCCACCAGGGGAAGGGCTCAGTTTTCCACCTTGGCGAGCTTCCATGGCRGTTTGCGTCCTGGAGTTGTTTCCAGTTAGGCTCTGCCCCTCCTTGGGATACGGATACCACAAAGGTGAGCTCACCACAGTCAGCTCTCCGCAGACCTGGCTCACAGTGTCAGTCTTTAACACCCTGTACACCCGTTTCTCCTGGCAAGGAGTTATCTGTCTTCTGCCTCGCCAGAGGGTCTAGATGCACCCGGTGCTTTACAGGCGCGGTAGGAGCCAAGTGCTGCACGGAGCGAGCACTGTGGGTGAGCAGGCGTGAGGGAAAGGGAGGAGGATGCGACACCGGTGTCAGGATGGCCAAGGTGACAAACCGGCACTTCCTCTGCTAACCCCATGTGTTTGAATGATTTTGATCCCGTCGTAGTCGTTCTCCCTCCCAGGGAGTTCAGCGGGGCTTATCTCTTCTAATTTCAGCTTTTCTAAACAGGAACATCAGAGGCTTTCACTGAGGCTTTTTCTGTAGTCAGTGCAAGGAGACAGGCAGCTCGAGAAAGTGATTCATCCCACTTGCCCGAGACATCTGTCTCAGGATGGGATGAGTTGCTAAAGAGGGAGTCACATACCTAAAATTAATTGACAGATGCCATCTTCATTTCTACCTTCCAGCTTCCTGCTGCTCGCCTTTGCTGTATTGAATCTGGCTTTATAGCTTTTGCTTTGTGTTTAATGCTTGTAGATATTAAATTAAATGGCCATTGGAGCTTTAATAAATTATTCCTTATGTTCAGTCTGCTGCTTTGCTTTACTTGCTAAAATTGGCTTATTATTTCTGCCTTCTTTCCATTTCCCATATTCTTTGCTGTAATACTGCCGTGCTTGCTTCCTGCTTGCAATTATTTTTAACCTTTACCTTTACTCAGGTTGTTTCACAATTTATATATAGCAATGACCATGTGTGTGTGTTTGAGTGCCCATGACAGCACCCTTGGTCATGGTGTAGAATATGTATGTGGTGGCCACACTTAGACCCAGAGCTTCCATTGCTTTAGCTCAAGTTTTATGCCGTTAGGAACGTGCTTAGCATGGTTAATGTGCACGCGTTGTTAGAAGCTTTTGGTATGCATCAGAATGAAATATCACCTGTCTTGCATTTTAGTCAGGAGGTTTTGCATCCATCTTCACTGAAGACATGCCACAGGTAAGTCACGCTAGTGTGATACGTCTTCATCGCCCTGTTTCCATGTGCGATAGCATCCCTCATCTCTGTTTTCATATTCCTCTCGGATTGCGGATGTGCCCTTCCCCTGTGGCGAGAGTTACATGGATTCATGCTTAAAAGAACATTTGAAACATAAGATTCTGTTACCTAATGTGTATTATGATTTACTTAAGTTAAACAGAATCTAGTAATGAGAAACGACAAGCAAACTTAACTATTGGCATTACTTTGTGTACTTAAAGAAAATATGTGCTCTGCATGTGTGTACTCGTATGTGTTGTACACAGACATAACTACATCTTAGGTAAAATCCTGGGACCCATTAAATAAATACAGAACTCCCACTGGTTTGATTGAGGCCAGGATTTTATCTGCTATGTGCTTATCATTTTTTTTTCTGAGCATTAAGAAGCCATCATAGCCAAACTACAGTTTGCTTATTTTTGTTTAACTATTCCAGAGCAGAGACCAAACGCGCAAGGATGAAAGATTCAACATGTTGCATGCTTTAATTTGTAACAAGAACTTTCTTGTTGCTCTCATTCACACCCTTGAAAAGCAGAAAAATTTCTCTGTGAAAGACAGGTATAGTATGATTATGCTTATCATCCTCAAAACAAAGAATTAGCAGAAAACCAAAACTGAAAACAGAAACAAAACCAAAATTGATTGTATCGCCCAAATGTAACTTCCACTTCTTGCAAAACAAGTTTGCATTTTTCCAGAGAATATTTCCATTTTCTCCATCAGCACATGCTGAGGAAGAAAGGACATTGCCATCAAACAAGCCATTAAAGAGAAATTAGAATATTTGTATCTGTAAACATAGAGGCAGAGGAACATGAAAGATTCACCTCAAAACTATAAGGAGYTCCTGCAGTTAAATCAACAGTTTTACAGTTTAGAAATGTCCTGTCACAAAAAAAAAAAAAAAGGTGTTCTTTTGCAGAATTAAATTTATAGGCACAAATTTTGTGTTAAAAAAAAAAATCATAGGGACAGATGGACCTGGTTTATTTTYATATTCTTCCATTAGTGGGCAGTTTGAGTCCCTGAGGAAGGAAAGCTCAGGATAGGAATGGTGCTAAAAGGTGTTTCTGTTGGATTGGAAAAGTAATCACAAACATGTTAGCATGCTCCCTTTCCATTTTTTTTTTTTTTTTCTTTTTTAAACAGGTGCTTGTTTGCATCTTTCTTGACTATTGCACTACAAACTAAGCTAGTTTACCTAACCCATATTCTGGAAGTGCTGACGAAGGACTTGATGGAGCAGTCAAGCAATGTCCAACCTAAGCTCCTGCTCAGGCGAACCGAATCCGTGGTAGAAAAGTTGCTGACCAACTGGATGTCTGTCTGCCTCTCTGGCTTTCTACGGGTATGTGTACAGCTTTTCACCTTGTTAAGATACACAAATGGAGAATATTTTCACRTGATTTCTTCCAGAAGGAGTGCTAGAGGTATCTCTTTCAGTGCCTTCAATCTAGCATCAGGTGGTWGTAGGAAAAGAGCAGGTCTGCAGGCGGTGATCATGTTATGTATTTGACTGAGTTTGGGGTAATTTTGCAACTCCCACATGCCCTTCACTCATGTGAGATACGGTTTCGTCTCCTTGAGCTGTATTCTGATCCCTTTAAAAGACTGACACATTTGTTAAACACAGTCTGTGCCCTCCTGTGCATGCTATTAGAAAGCTATTTATTGGAAGCTTAAGGAATAACACCTTAGGGAAGGCTAAACTTCCTTCCAAATTTCCTAACAATCCAACAATGTTTCAGGTTTCAAGAATTGAAAGAGCTCAGGGGACAGCAAAATAAACATTTTCTTTCATTTCCACAGCTCATGTATTTTAAGCCCACTTGGCAGCACTTTGCTCTCGGTTTCAGTGCTGGGTCCTGCTTCCGCTGCTGATCACTGGCATGACGGTACCACAGGGCTGGTCTCGCTCACGTCAGTCGTGTTTGAGGGCTCATGCCAGTCCCTGAAACCCAGGAGAGGGCCGAGGGGGAGACAGAGGAGATGAGTTCCCAATGAGTCCATGCTTGCTCTGCCAGCTCTCGTGCTGGCACTCGGGGTTCTGCCAGGAGAGGGAAGCCCCTGTGTGGTTTCCTTTCTCACTGGTGCACCAGCTCCGGCCCCACCACCTCACTCCCCAGGCATTTTATTCAGGCACCAYGAGCGGAAAAGCCGGTTTAAAGGGAAAGCAGCTGTTAGCTTGTTCCCTGGCCAGGCCGGCGGGGAAGGGGTCTCGGCAGCGCGGCGTGGGCCCGCGCATCCCGCCGCCCCGCTGCCAGGCCCCGAGGAGGCCGAGCGGAGCAGAGCGGCTCCCCGGGGCAGCTCCAGGGGCCCCGGGCCCTTTGCATCGGGTTTCCACGCTGAGAAGCAAAGGCTGGGAGTTAAACGAACAGCCCTGTGAGACGGCTGCTTTCTTTTCGGATTGCAAGATTAGAAAGCTGGTCAGAGGGAAGTAACTCAATTTGGCACTCGGGATTTTTTTTCTTCTAGCTCTTCAAGCCTGTTTAGTGATTGCGAAAATAAACGTGGTTCTTGTGTTGGTTTCACATCCTAGGAGACAATTGGTGAACCTTTCTATCTGCTGGTGACAACCCTCAATCAGAGGATAAACAAAGGCCCCGTGGATGCCATAACCTGCAAGGCCCTGTACACACTAAACGAAGACTGGCTGCTGTGGCAAGTGTCTGAGTTCAGGACAGTGGTAGGTTCACCGGTTTGCCTTCCCTCCAAGCACAGACAGACACAGTAGCTTCCTAGAAAAAGAGAGAACACTGTGTCTGTGCTAAATTAAAGCTCTTAGATGCTAAAGTGATGGTTAAGTACCTGGATRAGGCAAAACACAACTTGTTATTACGTACACAGTTTCAAAATGCATTAGAGTTAACTAACTGGTGTCTCACCARTATGCATTTCACGAATAGAGGCTGCTCTTCAGTTCACAGCATGCCTTAATAGGCAAAGATTTACTGAAGTCTCAAAGTATTAAAAATTCCTAATTATTTTAAAGTGTTCTACAAAAAATGTAAACATATGCTGTGAATTTAAACTGAATTGCACTTCTGCCATGAATGAAAGAACGTAATGTAGAGGTTTTATTTTTCTGTTGTATTTACTTGTGGCAAATCTTCAGGCAGCAGTAATTTGCTGCGGGCTTCAATGTTGTGAGCTCCAAATTAGGAAGGTCACAGTGTGGTGGGGTTCAATTACTTGCTTGGTTAAGAACAAAATCTCTGGGAAACCTAGCTAAGTTTCTGAATGTAACCATAGATGTCTTGCCTTTCCTAAAGTAATTACAGAGTGGCTGCTATCTTACACTTCCACCTTGATCTCTTCAAAGCTGCAGTTCCCCTTCTGATATCTGACTTTCTGAAACCGAGGGGAGAAGGGACAGAAAGGATTATTGAATTTTGGATCATGTAAAAAAACTGACTTTTTGGAAGAAAAGGTCTGAAAAACCTTTTCACAAAAACTAGAGTATTGTGCTTCTAGAACTTCCAAATGATTTTGAGTCTGAGAGCTTCTTTAAGTTCTGCATTTCTAGTCATTTCCATGGCTTCCTTCTTTCTCAACTTCCTGTCAGAGACATAAGAGCCTGGGAAGAGTGACCAAAGAGTGAGACTCGGAGCCTCTGGGCTAATAACGTGCAAGGGCAGCACCTCCATGGCAGGGACGCTGCAAAGGGACAGTGCAGAAACCTTGGAGGAAAAGGCAGCCCTTCCCAGAGCCAAGACCCTGAACCTTAAATAGGCCTGGAGTTTGGCCAGCTCAGCCTTTTGCCACGAGGRCCAGGAAGTTGTAAGATGCCGCGCACTGGAGTAGATTGCATGACCCTGGAAATTTTGGCTGGTCAGCACCTCACTGAACTAGTGAGGACAGGGCTGGGTCATTTAGGAAGCTCACTGAAATGGCTTGACTTTCTGTGACACGTTTCTGACTTGGCAAATTTATGGTCAGATCTCACAGCTGCTTACAGAGCTGCTAAATTACCACAGAATGTGTTTTGAAAGGAAGTTTATGACTAAATATTAGTAAAAAAATACCGTGTCTTTGGTTTCCTTGTTAGTGCACTGCATTCTGGCTTTTTTTATTTTATTTTATTTTATTTTTTTTTTTTTTTTGGGTATGCAGGGTAAGTTTAAATAATCTATGTGTAGCCATAGGATACAAACCCCGGTAGTTATGCAGAGCAGTAGTTTTCCAGGCACGATCAATACGCCTGATAGTAGCAGACAACACAGCAACGTCTGGTCCTGTGGTATCGATTGGCTCTTCTTATTTCTAGCACACACGCACACCCAGGGGAGAGCTGAGTCTGCACCTAATGAACACTGCCTTAATAATACCTTTCCCCGCGCCGCTGGTAGGGCTTGCAGCTCCTGATAGGGTTTGTGGCAGTTATCGATGGGGCCGTGTGGGCAGCCTGCATGGAACAGACGAGAGGGGAAGTGGTCTGAAAGGGCCGGAATCTGTGGGGAAGGCTGTCTGCCCCGGGGTGAGGAAGCAAGAGGACSGATAGCCCTTTTAGAATACTGTTCACTGCCGTTGCGTTCCTGATCTTTAACTGATAGCTTAATAAAATATAAAAGGTTAACAAGGCAGCTTGCCCCGCCGAGGTCTAGCAGTTCATTAGACCCAGGTAAGAAGRAGCAGGATATTCCCCGTCAAGAGTGTCAGAAAAGCAGAGAGGACCCTGCAGTAGAGGTGCACAGCAGGAGCCAGGGCGCCACGTTGGGGAGGGGTCCAGCTTTGTTTGGAGCCTGGCCTAAGGTTTGTGTTGGAGACCAAAGCTGCTCAGAGGGATTCAGGTGGAGCGCAGAGGTGCTGGGACTGGGTGGGCAGCCCGCTGGGCACGAGTACCCTTCATTTAGCCCCYTTAACTGGGGGCTGAAATGGAAGCAGGCAGCTTTTCTTCTCTCACTGATGCAGTTTCACGTGCACTGAAATGACATGCAAGACCTGGGATTATATATATGGAGTAGTGGGTATGTTTTTCTCCTTTCTTAGGAAATAAATGTCTGTCTAAAAGATTGCAACTAGTATTTTCTGCAGCTAGTATTTTCTGCATCAGATAAATTCCAGGCTGAATTTTCAAGCACTTTTCCACGGTTGCTCACTGAATTGCTTTCTGAAGGTAAGACGATACTGAGGCAAGTGTGCCGACACTCAGTGCCAATTTTTTAAAGTATACAGACGGTGGAAGATGCAGAGAAGCACCTCGCAGGCAGTTCAACTTGGGGATCAGTAGCAGGCCCAGGCAAGGCAATTTGTAGACCTTCTGCCTGCAAATCTCAAACTAATTAATTAAAGGGAGCACTGGCAGGCTCCCAAAACTCAGGGGATGCTCCACAGGTCTTTTCCTAACCCTCCACTGTGCAGGTAGGCCCTTGTGACAGGACAAGGAAGAAGTGCTGGACATGAAGAAAGAAAGACAGATTTTTCTAAAGAGTTTTGTAAAATTCAGGCCTTTTGTAACAGGAAAACAGAGCTGGGGAATGTGTTGGCTCTGCTTTACATGAGCGCGGTCCCTTGACCCCACTGCCGGCCTTTTCGGGAAGGGCCATGGGCCTCGGGCCCAGCCGCCCCCCACAGTCACCCCTCTCTGCTGGGCAGGGTCAGCTGCTGCCTGCAAAGGCCTGAAGAGAAGAGGCCTTCTGAAGTAAATACTCCAGCAGAGCAGCTGAAAGAGAGATGCTTCTCAAAGCATCGGTCCAGTAAGAGCTGAGGAGCTGTGTGGTTTCACGCTGGGCTTATATCTGATTACTGAGAAATAAAACTGCCTTGAAAGAGGCTTGGATGTGTCACGGAGCCTTTCGCAGGCCGAGGGCACAAGCTGAATCATTTGCTCAGCGACTGATGAAAAGCCCTGTGCAGGGCCGAGCGTTCGTACTTCACCCAAATGGCTCAGCTACATGGAAAACCTGCACGACGTGAGCCTGACCTTGCAGATATTCTTGGCGGAGCCTCTGCTGTGGAAGAACAGGGGAGGATTTCTTCCAAGAGGAGATGTGGTGCTAGGACATTTTGAGGGCCACAAGTTTCCCTTAATTAGTTACTGCTTACCTTTAAAAAAGCATTTGGGGCTGTTGAATTCTCGTTTGCTGAAACCAGCTCGCATTTTTGAATGGGAAGAAGTGATCTAGTGTAGCCCTTCAGCCACCAGCCTCGACAGCACGTGAAGCGGGGCTGCATGGCAGAAGATTGCTTAAGGTGCTCAGCTGCTTTGCTGTRTAGAAGAAGGGCCTCAGAAGAAGTGGGATGACTGTAAGGGAGTCGAGCAGAGAAGGGGAGCCCAATTCCCGATAGGAGGCCATGGCATTGGTAGCACTGGTCACGCTCTGTGCAGCGTAGGAGGCTGTTAAAGGTGTGAGACCTATGGGGAGGCTTCATCAGCACAAAAGGGCCTGGCCATCCTTGCTAGGAAGTGAGCAGGGCAAATGCTGATGACAGGAGAGAACTGTGAATTAGATCAGAGCAAGGACCAGCTTGGAGCATCAGCAGTGCAACCCTGACCTTGTTTAGTACCTGTCGAGCCTTAATTTAAGTCCCATAACATTTTCTCTGCCACTTTGTTGGCTGTTCTGTAATGCCTTGATGGGTAGCTGTTCTGGTTGCTATAGAAGGAACATGTGATGAACATGATTTTTCTTGTTTGTTGTGTTTCACAGCCTTAGAGACACAAGTAGGTTCAAGGCTATTTCTTTGTATTGTTTGTTACAGGGCTGTCTCCTTTGCATGATTCCTTACTGAACAAAAATTTCCCTTCTCAGTTTGTCAGATAAGTGGAAATATACTTTGCTCAGATGCAYAGCTGAAAAGAACCTTTGTATTTTCTAAACTACTTTTCTTTACATCTAAGGAAGTGCCRTAGGCTTTCTTTAATAAACCACATATCATTTATTATCTGTTACAGTTATTAATGGCTTTATTTTCTTAGATAGTTTGTTGTTTGCAGTTTATTTTCAGAAAAATTCTRAATTTGAAAGACCTTCAGTAAACGTTGTCTTCAGCTGTCATTGTTGCTGTCATTGTAYAAGTGAAGGTTTTTTCCCCTGGTGTTTTAGCTAGGTTCCAARCTAGCCCCCATAAATACAAGTAGTTCCAGATGTTTGCCTTGTTCTCCTTAAATAGCCTCTAACAATTCTTGCAACCTGTGTTAAGCCTCTGATGAAAAGCCCCGTGACTTTCTGTTGCCAACCACTAATTCCCAGTGTATGAAATCTTGACTCTGCGTATTACTAGGTTGCATCGCATGCCCTGTAATTTCCTCCTGAGCCTCACCATAAATTAACTTGTATTTCTTTTGAGACTCCTTTGCAAAGTTAGCTTAGAAAACTGCCTTGTGATGTTTCTTCAGGTCTTCTGTGTCCTTCTGTGATTTTTCTAATGTTTGCTGACCTTCAGGGTTAACCGTAAAAGGGCTTTCATTATTTTGCAGTCACTTCTGATTCTTTTTCCAGTTGGACACTTAGTGTCTAAATGCAGTGCTTGTGACAGCCGGCTGGTGATTAATGGTTTCAGAAGCCAGGCATTGTGCTGTCCGACAGGTAGAATCTGATTTATGAAAACTTCAACTGCAGAAAGAAGACATAATAATAATTGGCTTTTCCAGCTCCCCATCAATCGTTTCATCACTTAAGATTAATTTCTGCAAGAAATTGTATCAGAAAAACTGCCTGCCTCTCTTGGTGTCAAAACTTTTTATCAATATTTATATTAATATTTCTTTCCATCTGGCCACTCCTTTGAGTGGTAAGTGCTATTATCCTCATGCTATGAATGCTTTTGATGAAGGAGTCTGCAAATGACTTGAATGCCACCTGCATAAAGGACTAGTACTTTCTTTTTTCAGCCTGTCACCCAGCAATGAGTTGAGTAGAGATGGGAGGACTCCCACATGCGAGTAAGTGAAGAGCACAAGAAGAATCAGCTACAGAATCAATATCAAATGTGTAGCCCAACCTTTATGCAAGGGGGTAAGGACAAGGTGAAATCAGCTAAAGAGGGAAAAGCTACCCCTGAAAGACCAGCTGGCAGACTGAAGAGGCAAAGAGTTGGATTCAAGGCTAGTGGGGAGCTTTCATTACTGTCCTTCAAGACCCAGCCTGCCCTCAGGGCAGTCCAAGTCAAGGACAGGATGGTTGTCTGTTGAGATGGGCTTAGCCAAGCACATCTCCCTCACTGCTGCGCCAAGAGATTTTTTGAGGAATTTTGCACATGAAATCCCAACCCCAGGCATGGCAACCAGCCTGTGTCTCCTCCTGCAGGCACCGCTCCTGCATCAGCTCCTCTTCTGTTGGGTCTGACCTTTTGGTAGACTCATTTTGCTCACAGTTTTACATCTCTGATTAAGCTGTTCTCAATTATGACGGTTAGGGCCAAGTGTTCACTAAATCCTGCTGTTTTACCACCTTGTTTTTGGTATTYCTCTGCTTCTGTAGTAACAGCAGAGCGTGTGCATGCCTCACTAGACCACTTCTTTTCACCAGCGGTGAGTGGTAGTTTCCAGTGAGTGGGTAGTTAAGCACAAAATAGTACTCTACACCTATTAAAAACTATTTTGTCTGAGAAGGGAGAGCAGGCTCCTGCAGCAACCTGGCACAAGTTCTTTCCCTCACATGACAGCCTGAAAAATAATAAACATTTTGGGCTGCTTCCTCTTCTAACGGTCACACCTTTACTGAGTCACAGCCACAGCCCTCACTTTTCTACCGGAATATCTTTATTAGACRAGGGGGGTCCAACAGCCGGGAGGATTCGAAGTTCACACATCTCCCTACCTCACTTGCAGGCAGGTGTAGGTATCAAAGCACTGACTTTAATCCTGTCCTGAGGGAGCTCCATGTGCATGTAGCTGAACAGCGATGTTGTCTCTGCAAGAAGCAGGCTGTGCCATGGCAGATCTTCGCTGTTATCACCTTGCCTTAGCTACCCCGGGCTCATCCTTCTTTCCATCCCTTTTTGAAAGCAGTCGAGGGGCCTGGCCAGACCAGAGGGTTCCCTGGAGATGTTCTCCTGTAGGGCTGATGTTCCCTCCAGCCCCGGGCTCGCACTGTGTGTGGTGCAGCAGGGGAGCTGCCCAGCAAAGAGCAGCTCTGAGGGGCAGTGTAAGTGGACAGGCCGTCACCCGTGGGGTGCTTGACCCGCAGTGGTGGCCAGCAGAAGACATTGACCCTTTGCTGAGCCAGCTCCATCCCTTTAGAGTGTGTTTGCTGTAACGTAGTTCCCCTTCCACTGCTTCTGCAGGAGGTCTGATCTCTGCTGCCTCCAGAGCCGTGGCTGTGTGCAGACAGAAATTGATACAACTAAAGGGGAGGTATATATATTATTTTGCATGATATAAAGTACACGGCATAATTTTCTGGTGTATGTGTGCATTTTACCATTGCTTCAAATCTACTTAAAATCAGTCATGCTTACCATGATGACTGACTGACTTAGCAACCTTATCAGATCTTTAGTCACTTACAGTTTTGCTGCTAAGGCATTCATTTCAAATAAAATACAAGGGTCTTTTTTTAGAGCATACATAATAATTTCTCCTGGCCTCCTGTCCTTTGTGGKAACTAACTGAAATAGACTTGCAGAAAAGCAGAACACAAAATGCAGCTTTGGAAACATGCAGCTGTTTGATTTTTCAGACACAAGGAACTCTAAGTGTTTCATTGTGTAACTTCAGTCAAATAACCTTTATTTGAAGTGGCCTTAATAATGAATATTCTGAAAGCCCAGCGGAGTGTGTCGAACCTTATGTCCTACTGGGATTGCCAGCAGGAGTCTGCCATGCCAGGTGTTCCTTGTAAGTCAGACTAATGTATGTTTCTGTCCCCAGACAGTGAACGTCATCTTTGAAAAAATCCCAGAAAATGAGAGTGGAGACGCCTGTCAGACCATCCCGGTTAATGTCCTGGACTGCGACACCATAGGGCAAGCCAAGGAGAAGAGCCTTCAGGCGTTCCTAAATAAGAATGGCTTTCTCTATGGCCTTCAGCTGCATGAGATTGGTCTTGGTAAGGGGGTCTCACTGTGTTATGTTTTTATCAAGTTCAGTCTTCCTTCTGTAGAGTTGTCTTTGGGGAAATTCCTACCTTTGGCTTTATTTTTTTAAWTTTTTAATTTTTTTTTTAGCTTTTAGGCAGACTCTGCCCAAATGATTTTCTATGGAAATGCCAGATTGCTTATGCTGCTAGTTAGAACATCAGAATTACCTCTGTTTCACATCTGCAAGGATTTTAGCATGCAGTTAACAGACACCCATGTTACATATGCACCTCTCTTCTAGTCTCAAYGTGGCAAAGGAGTGGAGCACACTTGGTCAGCAAAATTGCTAGTATTATAGTAACTCTGACCCTCAACGTTTTGTCCTCATATTTGCTAAAACCCAGCTGTTGGCTTTATTAGGTAAGGAGGAATTTGCAATGATTAGATTGGTGTGGTTACAAAAGGCAAAAAAAAAAGAAGAAGAGAGAGAGAGAGAGAGAGAGAGAGGGAGTGCTGCAAGGAAGCTGAGAGGATGAGGACCTGGAGGGTTGTGGAGAGCACACAGCAGATACTACCTCAGACCATTCACTCCTGATCTGAACTGGTAACACAGACTGCACACCAGTATTAAAAGGAAACTCCCTCTAGTATCCAGGCTGCACGTGACTTAATTGAGAAGCAAGGGAGAACAGCTTACCAGGGCTTCTCCCCAGTCAGCAGTTGAGGCGTACTGTGCATATATATCCTCTACCAGATAACAAATTGTCACCAGGAAAGACAGTGACTACAAACAGACCAGTGGGACCAGAACATATTTTCTCTCCTGTATATGGTGCCCTCTGAGAGCACCGTGGTGCTCTGTGGATGCTTGGAAAGGTTGTTGTAGTGMCCATTCCTTCCTGCTGGTGGCTGCTATCACACAAGGGGCTCAGGACCTTTAGGAATGACTGTGGTGGGACAGGACTACCACCTATATAAGGCAGCCCCCTCCCAGCCTGCCTGCCAGGGGCTCTCAGGAAAGAGGAGGCCAGGAGAGCTGCTTGTCTGCGACTAGATATGTACTAATGCCTGGTCTTGGTCTTTACAAGTGGCCTCTGAGCTCTAGGCTGGATATTCCTSAACAACATTAGATGAAAGCACCTCTGGAAACAGTGACCAACACAAAGGAAAGCAAAAGCCTACAGTAACTGAAGCCATCAGAGAGAAACAGAGCTTAGTTGTGATCTGTTGGTCTAAAAATTAGGGGGTTTTTTTGTGTGTTTTTCTTTTTTTTTACAAAAATCTGTGCAGACAGAAGGCAGTTGGGCTGTAATTGTGTTTTATTGCTGTCCTTCTGCAGAACTGGTATCTGAGGAGCAGCAGAGAGAACTGCTGGATATTGACAGTTCCTCAGAGATGATGGAGGATGGGATAAGGAGGCTGAACACCATCGGTCATTACGAGGTAAGGATGCAGACCACGCCAGGAAACGGAGAAGGGCTTGCTCCCCACCTCCTGCATGCTGCCTGCACAGAAATACTTTGGCTGATCAAAATCTCAAAAAGACAACTGAGCACCATCAACAGAAAGAAAGAACTGTGCGATACGACTTCCTTACTTATGAGTCACATGTTTTCTGTTACTTTTCAAAGAGGTTTGCTTGTTGCAGAGGGTGCTTGGTTTAGGTATATCAGATAAACTGTTCCCCTTTCAGCTGGGAAATTCAGTGAAAAGGGCATCTGATTTTTAGCTCTGAACACTACCCTGAGCCTACTCTAATCTCTGCTGCTGAGTTTTTGTTGCACCGTGAACAATTGTTTGGTCTCTTTCATATTTTGATTAGTTGAACAGGTAGCAGTAATGCCTGTGAAAACTCAGCAAGAGGCAGAGAAGAAATAACTGCTGAGATCTTTTTGCTCTTTCTTTTGAGATCTGACACATCTGACTCCTTCCTCTATTCTCTACTTCTGCTTCCATCCAGAGTGACCATTTTTTTCCTCTCCATTTCCAATTGCCACTATAAACCAATTCTCTTCAGCATCTCACTTCCCAAATCTGCCTGTCAATGCAGCAGCACACAACTAATAGCAGAGCCCCTTGGGGCCTGGCACTTTGCAAGAGCCTGCTGAGCGGCACTGCCTCTCCAGGGAGTTTGGGGACAGGATGTAGGACAGAACAGAGGGAGAGAGATGAGTCAGATGGACAGCAGGTGACTGGCCTCAGGTGATGTGGTAGCTCAAATTTTGGAGCTTACAGCCAGATTTTGAAAATGAGGTTAGTGTGCTGAGTGCTTTTAGTGAGCTTCTTTTGTACTTAGTTGTTGGCTTTGAAAATCTGGCTCTTAACACAGTGGTTTAATTTTATTTATTTCAATGTTTTGCTGGTGGGTGCAGGCCAGTGTCATGCAATGCAACATGATGCTGAGAAAGGTGAGCCAGCTGAACAAATTGGAGTCCTCAGGAGTCAGTACAGATAGGGACAGAGAGTCCTAGCAGGACTGTTTGTAGCTTGGGTGAAGCATTAGGGTGTTCAAGTGTGGAACAAACTCGTTTGGAGTCGGCTCACGGATTTCTGTAGGGGTTTGTTGCTCCCCTTACCTCACAGGAGGCAGTGAGGAACCCAAATGTCCTCGGTCACAGTCTGGTATTTTAAGCACAGCTTTTCCTGCGCCTCTCTTGAATCTTGTCTCTCGATGAGCGTGGGACTTGTCTCTGCTTGGTAAAGGCTTTGCACGAGTCAGGACATCGTAGTGTTGCAGCAGTCAGTGTCTGTGCAGCAGAGGCCAGAACTCATCGGGTGTTTGGGCTCCTGTCTGTCAAGGCAATACCAGCCTTCTTTTCTGGGGGCACCTATGGCAAGTGCTGGCTGGTTTTCCTCAGCAGCTACTCACAATTCCTGAGCAAGGGCTCAGACTTCATGAYAAATGAGTCTTATCCAGCTGGTCACTGTCATCCCTGGCCATCTTTGACCCGCTCTCTGTTTCCCCCTGTGGTTTCTAGAGGCAGATACAACTGATGGTTCAGTTGTTTTTGCAAAGCTGTAACTATACTAATTATAGCTCAGTGGCTGTCTTATGGAAATTGTGCTGATATTTTAGCTCACTTCTTCTGAACATGACAAAATAYGTTCTAGGCAGAAGCTTGGTGGCATCAGGGCAAATCAGCCATTTGTGTGTCTCTCTTTTTTTTGGTATGCATAGCAATGCTGAAGGGAATGTGGAGATTTCAAGAAAAACATGAAACATGAAAAAAACATGAAAAGGAAATGCTGCGTGTGCAGTGTGAGGGTGGTAGCACTGCCTGGGGATTGCCAGCTTGCATTTCAGTRGTGCCTAGGGAGTTGTGGCAAGCCTGGATTTCTCCTTTTGTTTGACAGCTTTAAGCACTAGAAAGCAACTAGACTCTATTTTTCAAGTGGGAAACTCCATCAAGTCTTTTTAAGACATTCAGGTGTGGGGAGGTTGCATTGTCAATGCCCCAGAATTAATCCCCTGAAAAAGCAGGTGTAATTTCTACACCTATTTTAAGGGTGACGCTGCTCCCGGGCCCCGCAGCTGGCTCTCCAGTTCCAAGCGGGAAGCGGCGATCTCTGTGCCCGGCCCCTTCCCAGGAGCGGAGCTGCCCCTCACAGCACCGTGCTGCTCTCCTGCTGCTTGCCAGGACATCTCCTTGCTCGGGACACCTCCTTGTCAAGACATCTCCTTGCTCGGGACATCTCCTTGTTGGGACACCTCCTTGTCAAGACATCTCCTTGTCGGGACATCTCCTTGTCGGGACATCTCCTTGTCGGGACATCTCCTTGCACAGGACCTTGCACGGGCCGTGGCTCCCGCTCTGCCCGCCGGCAGCGAGGTGTCCGCTCGCCCCGTGGCTCTCGCTGGGTGCTCGCCCTGCCGTGGCCGTGGGGTGTCGAGGTGCTCGGCACGGGTTGTCCGCAACATCTGCCAAGGGCTGCGCGATAAATGGAGACACTGAAAGAAAAACAGGCTTATAGAATAGGCTGTATTTACTTTCCAGGAGCAAGTGTAAGTAAGTGCAGATTTCTTTGGCACCCGACACGGCTTTTGATAGAGTATCTTAATGTTTAAACGAGTTTCTCACACTGGGCTGGCTGCCAAGGTTTAAAAAACACTTAAATTATTTTGGCGGAGATCCCTGCCGAGCACTGGCCAGTTGTTTTTGTATTTATAGAGGGAAGTACACCAGCACTTGGCGAAACCCAGCGCTTGACAGCAGAGCAGGGGGCAGCTCTCGGTGGGAGACGCTCTGGAGCTGCTCTTTGGCAACAGCAGTGTGACTTTCCCCCAGTAGTTACTATCCTAGCAACTACAAACACAGGGGCAGCAGAGGAGCAAGATTTCTGCAGAAATCCTGAGGTGCCTAGATAGCAATCCTGTTCTCGTTGTCCCCGGGCACAAATATTTCAGTCACTCTGGGGACTGAAGGTCGAGCATAGCTTTTTGGAGCACTGGGCTGGGCCATATGAGCAGTCTCAACAGGGTGCCTCCCTAAGCATCCTCTGGTCCACCTCCCCTTGCTCACCAAGGAGAGATGGAGCTGGGAAAGGGGCTGGAATAGAAATCCTGGTGTTCCCCTCTCTGCACCACCTTCCCGTAAGACCAGCTGAATTGGAGCCACAGAGTCTGGCCTGAGAAATCAGTAGAAAATGAATGCAAAAAGAAAGAGCCACAAGGCAGAACATGGAAATGAGATGCCCAGAGTGAGGCTGAACCCAAGAAGTCAAGGAAAGGGTCTGGATTCCCAGGAAGCGGCTTGGCCGGGCCCAGGCGAGGCCGCCAGGAGGTGGCCGCGGTGCCGGTGCTGGTGCCGGTGCCGGTGCCGGTGCCGGTGGGAGCCGCGGGCGGCGCGGAGGGGAGCTCCGCAGCCCGCCCTGCCGCAGGGGAAGCGAAACCGCGGCCTTGCCAGCGCTCCCCGCGGCCTCAGAGACACGTGTGCCTTCTGCTTTCAGATTCCGAATGGAGCAACTATAAAAGTCTTCAAAAAGAAAACAAGCACCCGGACAGGTAAGGGAGGAACTGCAGCCTGTTTAGCCTGTCGGGGGGAAAGGGCTGGGGACGTGAGGGGCTCAGGTGTTATGTCAATGATAGGGGTTGTATCTTGGTCAATAGCGGGTCAGAAGGGTCGGCATGTGGATGCAAGAGAGCAGCAGGGAGAGCCGCTTTACCCTGCTCCTGGCAGGCATGGGGAGCCTCCAGGGAGAAAGAAGGCAAAGCAGAGGCACAGGGACACACGGTCTCAGGCAACCAAGTGATTCAAGATACAGACTAATAGGCAGGAAACGGGGCAGGGAAGTCCAAATTCCRCAGAACGCTGGCTGATGAGACCAATGTAGAAAACATATCCTGCGATATGCATCACAGGCATAAAGTATAAAAACACAGTTCAGAACTTCCATTTCTCTCTTTACTGCGTTTCTGAAAGTTGGTCTCGTCTGTCTTGACTGCACATGAGTTAGAGGGGGGCCTGGGAGCGCGTCCTGCCTACCTGTGCTTCTGGGATGTGCATGGCTCCGGGCAGGCTTTCCGGCACCTAGGGACGCTCCTCGGTGTCAGCCCAGGATTGGGCTGTTACCCCTTGCCACCAACATGGGCCCCTGAAGCTGGGGAAGGTGCCTCCCAGGCGGAGACACGAGTCCCGGAGACGGCTTTGCCCCCTCGCAAGGGCCGGCTTGCCCGGCACGTTGGGCATCGTAACAGCAGCTACACCGATGCAGTCAASTCTCCTCTGTTTACTGTCCTGCTTTCAGGGAAGCTCCCTTTGCTGCTGCTGCCTAACCAGCAGCAGGTGACAGCAGTCTAGTTTCATGGTTGTGGTCAGGGACTGGCACTGGGGACACGAGTCCTTTCCTCCAAGACTTCCCTCACACTATTGATAGGCAGCTGTGACCCCAAGGCTGCGCACTGTGCATCCTCACACATGCCCCTGCGCACAGCCCAGAGCCCCGAATTCACACGCTTGTAACTCTGCCTTTCATTAAGGCCTGTTGCCTTTCTGCTTTCTGTTTTGTAGATGTGGACTACTCTGACAACCACTGTCACTTGGTGAGTTCAGTACATGCGCTGTTAAGGGGTGGATTTAAGACTAAATGCTCRTATCCGTGTAACCGATCATCTGATCTCTTCATAACAGATTTTACCAGACTCTGAAGCAAACAAAGATGTGAAAGGAGCAGGTCAAAAAGGAAAGCAAAAATTCAAAGTGAAAGAAATGTATTTGACAAAGCTTCTGTCCACCAAGGTAAATGCTAAGGACTTGCTTTAGGAGAGGGCTGGTGTTAGCTTTGGCTCATTTGGTGCAGTGGAAGTACAAATTAAAGACAAAATTACGCAGTCTTCATTATACACCCTCTCAGTCTCATTCACAACATTTCTTTTTTTGCCTAAAAAGACATAGTGAAGGGTATAGGGAGTGAGTTTTGTCTTTGAATTCAACTGAGCAAAAATTCTCCTTTTAAGGGAGAGCCTCCAGTGAACAACTTCCACAGCTGCCCAGCCTAGAGACATTGGCAGAACTTGTGTTTGAGAAGATACTACCCACCATCTAACTGAAATAAAATATTTTATAGTGTCTCAAGCTGAAGGCCCAAAGTCACTAGATGAGTTTGAAAAACAATGTCCTTCTATAACTTAATTATCCACATTGCACAATGCACATTTCTTAGGAATAAGCCCTGTTCATATGTCTATTAATACCATCTTGTTTCTGACATATTCAAAGAGGATATAAAATTCTTTGCGGTGGCATATTAGTTAAAATATAAGTCAGTGCACAACACAGAGCTATGTGATACAGGAGGCCTGATGGGATGCTCATTATGGCCCTCTTTCATTTAAAGATCTATCAATGATTAATTAATTACATTGTTGCTGATAGCATCAAGAGTAATGTGGGACRCTACCCAAAGTGCAAGGCAAGACGGCTCATTTCTCAAGAGGCACGGGAACTAGCATGATCCCTCAGCAACTGCTGGGGTAAACTAGTAATATCTTACGGCCCTGATGTACAAAAGAAAAGAGCAGCCTCTGGAGAAAGAGTCTTTAAATGCTTCTAATTAAACACCTCTTTCTTCAAAGTAAGACAGTGCTCTTAACAGCAGTAAAATCTGTGTGTAACACGCCCCGCGCTGGAGCAAACTGCACTGATGCACGCCCTCCTCCCTGCTCCACGCTCCCACAGCCTGAGTTCAGAGCCTGGTGCAGGAAATGAGCAGGCCACTAATCCATCAGGGGCTGGGATACACTTACATCCCTCTTCTTAGGGGGAGGGTTGGATGAATTTGGCTTCAGAACACACATAAGGGGGGGGGGAAAAGGCATAGCAGTGTTTTGCTTTGTTTGCCTCATTATCTTGTGAAGATGTCAGTAGGTACAGCAGCAACTAAGCTCTTGGTTAGCAGTTTCGCTTCTGGGTTGCAAGTGTCCAGTGTTCAGGTCCTTCCTCTCACACAGATATCTCTGTATGTCACCAGTGCCATTAGCTTAGGGGTAGGTCCTTGACTGTCTCCATTATGAGTTAGATCAGCAAAGTGCCGGTGAGAAGGGCATCGTGCCACAGACCTTCCATGTTATGAAGAAGACCAGCCCCCTAGAATCCTGGTTCACCTCCTCATCCTTACCGCACTCTGACTTCCAGCAACRAAGCCCCAAATGCCTTCAGAAAAGATGCAGCCTATTTGCAGAGCTGCCATTCATTTCCTTGTTCAAGAAACCTTGCAAAGGAGTCCTTCCACCTATGGTTCATCATGAAGTTCACCACAGTTCTGTCAGCAAAGCAATGGTTGAGATGTGAAAGCAGCTCGTTATGGTGCATTTCACAGATTTTTTTTTTTTCCTTTTGACTTACTGATTTGTTAATAACCCGTGCCCTAAATGTTTACCACAAGTGCATTGCAGTTCCTACACGTGGTTCCCTGGGGCACATTCAGCTTTCTGAGACAAGCTTGTTCKTTTCCATGTGCAATAACAGCACTTGTCGTTGGCTTCCTCTCCAGGTCGCCATTCACTCCGTTGTTGAAAAGCTCTTCCGAAGCATTTGGAGTTTACCTAACAACAGAGCTCCGGTTGCCATCAAGTACTTCTTTGACTTTCTGGATGCCCAGGCTGAGAGCAAAAAAATTACAGACCCCGATGTGGTTCACATATGGAAAACCAACAGGTAAGGCCACGAGTGCTCATGTGCACATGAGCTTCTCCACGAGCAGACTTGCACGGGCCGAACACGTCACCAACTAGAAGAGCAGGATTTGGGCCTGTTCAAGTGAAAATRCTGACAGCCTGAGCTGCTGCCTAGTGTTGTTTAAGCTGCTGCAAAGCCTGCTATAGAGTGTGACCGTGCTAAACCAAAGGCCACCGCAGGATTGCAGCTCACAAAGAACATAGAGCATCAAGCAGAAACAAAGTGAGGTTCGCCCACTAACTTCTGTGATTTGGCTTGGTGGGTCCCAGTAATTTTAATACATAGATTAGCTACAGAGAGAAACCACTGTAGCTTACAGGACTTTTTAGCCCACCCACGGACTTCACACTCAGAAAGAAGTGGGTGCAGGTTGAGAGCAGAACTCACTGCCATTTGAAGCTGGAGAGCTGACCCAACCAACGTGTTTGCTCCGGGTGTTTGTTTCCTAATGCCCTTTTTTACATGAAAAAGCAGCAGGGACTTGTGCCTCTTCTCATGAATGCAGTGCATTTAAACTACCATTTTCATAGCAGTTGCGTGACCTAAGTGGTTAAATGTGCTTGTCTTTTCTCTGACTAGTCTTCCTCTTCGCTTCTGGGTGAATATACTGAAGAATCCTCAGTTTGTCTTTGATATTAAGAAGACTTCACATATAGAYGGCTGTTTGTCTGTAATCGCACAAGCTTTCATGGATGCCTTTTCTCTAGCAGAGCAGACACTGGGGAAGGTAATGYTGCCCTTCTCCTCTTTTGCTAATTTCTCAAAATACGCCTGTCTCAATTGYATAGCGATTTAAGGGATGAAATCTGGGCTCTGATGAAGTTAGAGGTGAAGCTGTCACTGGCCATGTTCCAATCCTTGATGCTTTAATTCACATAATACTAAGGAAATCACTGGTCTAGAAAGATGCAGCTACCTGAATGTCATATTTGCAGCTAACYGCTCCTGCTGCTTATCTTGTGCAATTAAATTCTGCACATCATATTTTTAGAATGTGGGGAAGAAGGTGGAAATTAAGATATTGATTTTTAAATAGCTTTTAACTAAAGATCCTGGAAGTATTGAYGTTATTTGATCTGTATGTGGCAGAAAAAAATGGACTGCTTAGGACGGAAAACACTTGTCAATAAGGGAACTTCAAGGAGCTCTGAAGTTTGCAAGTTCTTTTTCACCGTGTATTGGCTGCTGTCTTTTTACACCACTTACTGCAGGAAAAAATAAATCCATGAAACTTGCAATCAGAAGCTCTTTAGCACAGTGCCCAGAGCTATCAGAATCAGAAATAACTTCTACATTTTTTTTTCCCTGAGGATTTCTTCCTTTTCTTTGGACCAAACCAGGAAGTTGTATGCTCAGGCAAAACCCCCACATGTAGAGATTTTTTAACGCCCCAAAAGTATCACATTTCCTGTGTGATCTGTAGCAGCTGCTCAACCCATTTAGGGTGATGTCCTTATTTACCTGGTTGTGTAGGTGAAGTGTTGTGAATTAAAACGAATCCCGTCACTTAATTGATGAAAAATAAGCAGGGCCTGTTAAGATTCTGGAGGAGCAGACTGAGGATGCAGCACCTAGCACAGCAAGTGCTGTTGACACAACCGCTCCATGGCCTTTTGGAGAAAAAGGGGTGCAGAACCCTGACAGATGTTTGCAGTGCAGTGAAGGCCTTGGTCTTTTACTAAGATGTATTTATTGTCATGATTTCTAGCCTTTCTCTTAAAATATCCTTAACCWCTTAGAAAGCAAGTGGCCTCACTCCAGCAGAGAGTGGTAACAGGAGGGACACGGCGCAGGTTATAAAATATGTTTTACTCCCCATGAGTCAAAGGAGAGCAGATGCAGGAGGTGACCAGGCCCCACTTTCTTCTGGAGATGCAGCTTGCAGGTGGGGCTCGCGCTGCTCCCGCCAGCGTTTCCCAGGATGAGCCCGGAGGCGCTCGGAGCGGCTGCCCTAGGGGCTCCCAGGGCTGGTTCCTGGGCTGAGCTGCTCTTCGCTCCCTGGCGGAGGGGACTGAGGTTATCTGCCCGCTAGGAATGTTTCTACAGCAGCTGTCCCGAAACGCAGTGCCCTGCCACCAGAGCCCTTTGTCTCCTCCTCGTCTGCGTTTCGTAACCTGGAGTCCTTGCACGTAACCACTGCAAGGAGAAGCTAATCACACCGAAAGCAGCTGCAGTTAGATACTGTTAGCTGTGGGGAGGTGGGACCTCAGGAAACCTGTGCTGTTAAAACTGACAAGGCTTCAAAATTTTCTCTTAAGGAAGCACCAACAAATAAGCTTCTCTATGCCAAGGACATTCCTCTGTACAAGAAGGAGGTGAAAGCTTATTACAAAGCCATCAGGGACTTGCCTCCGCTCACCCCTTCAGAAGTCGAAGAATTTTTAACTCAGGAATCCAAGGTATGGCTGAGAACTGAGAACTTCGGTTTTCTTTCCTGTCACTTCCGTTTTAGAAAAGAAGAACTACCTGACCAGAACTCTCTTCTGTTTTAGAAACATGAAAACGAATTTAATGAGGAAGTGGCCTTGATTGAGATCTACAAGTACATAGGGAAGTATTACGAGGAGGTAAGCGGCTGCGCTCCGGCCGCGCGGCGTCGCGGTGCCGCTGGCGCCCGCATCGTGTTGCGTCGCGCATTGAGCCAGGCCAGCCCCACGGGACGYCTGGAAGGGGCTGCAGGAGCGTGTGGGGCGCAGGGCTGTCGCGCACCTGCCCCAACCGCCGGGGACCCGCGTGGCATGAAGCGCTCGGGGCGATGGAGCGCTGGGGGCGGCGCTGGGGGAGACGCTGCAGGGCAGGCCCGGCCTCCCAAAGCGGTGCCTGCCAGAGCCGTCCCCGCCACCCCAAAGCGGTGCCTGCCAGAGCCGTCCCCGCCACCCCAAAGCGGTGCCTGCCAGAGCCGTCCCCGCCACCACGCGCCCGCGCTTCCCGCGGTGCTGGTGTGGCCTCAGGCTGCAGCCCCGGCTCTCCCTTCAAGTGAGCCTGAGTCCCTACGGGGGCTATAGGCTCTGCCCTCTCCTGTGCCCCACTTGTCCTTCTTGAAGGGAAGCAGCTGCAGCCTGCGCCCCGGCTGACAGGAGCAGCCCTTTCTCGCCCAGGAGCACGTAGCCGTGTGGCCCTCTAAGCTCGTCTGCCACAAAAGCCCCGCGCTCCCCTCTGCTCTGCGCAGTGGGACCCTCCTCTCCTGCTCGCTGGGTGCACGTGGCAGAGGAGGCAGCTGCGAGGCCCCAGCCCCGCGAGGCCAAGGGCACGAGGGCCCTCCCGGCACCCCGAGCAGCGCAGGGCTCGCCGGGCCAGCCAGGCCGCGCAGGCGCCCGCGGGCCCCGGCCCTGCCCCACCATTCCTGTGCGGGACCTTGCTTGTTTCTTCGACGCGGCTTTGTCTTTCTTCTGTAGACATGTATAGATATATTTTTAGAAGGGTTGCAAGTCCTGTAATCACAGAAGTCACTTRCAAAGAAAACTGTAAAAATAGTTAAAGTCAGGAAAAAAAAATGTTTACGCACAGGCATGCATTTGGATGGGTTTGTCTGCCAGCATTTGTTTGAATGCAGAAAAAGGAGCAAGTAGCAAAAAAAGAAAAAGCACTAAAGAAAATATTCTCTAATTGTTAACAGATTGTCAGCAAACTCGAGCGTGAACGGGGGTTTGAAGAAGTCGAGAAGCAGCTCCAGCAAGTCAAGGCCTTATTTGACGAAAAGAAAAAGTGCAAATGGCTCTGAGYGGAGCCCTGACTCACAGCATCACTGTGGGGATTTCAAATAAGTGCTACTGCTCCCAAAACACGAACGAGTATTTGTACAGGGTCTGAAATATTTGGACACTTTTTCCCCGCTCCAACCATTCCAAGTAATCTCTGAGGCTGAGAATGAACTACGGGCAGGGTTGGATATTCCAGTTTGGGCAGGTAAAAGCGAAAGCGAGTCCAGCATTGGTGTAGCCGGCCTTTCTAGGCCTTTGAACACTTGCATCCTTGGTTCAAAAGCGACATCTAAGTAAGCTTTCCTCTTGCTTAAAACCACRCCTGCAGAACAGCCGCCAGCCCTGCTGCAAGTTCCGAGTTACGCATGCGAACTCGTAGGCCGCTTACCTCTTGGAGAGGGAACGCGGGTATTTGGCCACATCCTTTCAGCAGCCTTGGCGATCTGTGAGGATGAGCGCCGGCTTCAGAATGTGGGTCAGCTGCTTCCTTCCTTCCCAGGCACGCAGGCGTTGGTTCCTGTGTCTTTGAAGAAAACAAAACAAAAGCACCAAAGTGACACTTACAACAAGCTTACTTAGCAAAAAAAAAAAGGGGGGCAGTCTGGGGTTTGAAGCGTGAGTGCTGCCCGGCAGCGTTTCTCTCCCTGGCTTTAGGAGCTGCGTGTGCAGCACAGTGCAAAGCCAGCTGCTGTGTCGGGCACGGGGTTTCAGGAGAGGGCAGCCAGCTGGCCCCCAGCCTGTGTTTACATTTCTGCCCTTGGCCCTTGGAAGCTAGGGATGCCTCCCAGCACTTCCCGCTGCCGCCTCGGGGCTCCGCGGTGCTGGAGAGGCGGCCGGCGGCACCACCATGCGGGTGCGGGACATGCAGGCCCTGGCCCCAGCCCTGAGCGGGGCTCACACACCTAAAACCAGCACTTTCTTCATTTTTACACACCCCCGCCCCAGGAAGCAAAGGCTTCCTGAGAGGCTGGATTAATAGACTAGACGACCAAGAGGTCTGACAGAACCCGTGGCAGTCCTGCTGTTGGTTCAAGAGCCTGTGCTTGACCTGTAAGGACGGCTGGGCTTCCCAGAGCGCGTCCCTTGGGCCAGTGGTGGCCCCAGTGCTGCCGGGGCCCTCTGAGGGTGCTCGCGACRGGGCGGGCGGGTTGCAGCGGCTGCCGCGCAGAGAGCCGCGGATCCCGCCTGCCGCCAGGCGCCTGTGGAGGCCRGGGTCTGCCCTTGGATCTGCAGCGGGGTTTCGCAGCTTCCAGAAGCCACTGTCGGCCATGAGGTTGCCCTGCCACACGCCTAGGGGGAGCACAGCTCGACAAGGCGGCCGAGGCGGCCAGGCCCTGGCGTCTCCATCACCCCGGCTGGTGGTCGGGGAGCACCGGCCGCGCGGCCCCAGAGCGGCCACAATCGCCGCTCGGACGCAGCCCGGCCCCCTCAGCAGCTGCCCTGGGCCGCACGCCTCGTGCCTCGGCACCGCAGCCAGGGCAGCCGCCAAGGCAGCCCACGATGGCTCGTGTTGTACTGTGGTGTTTTTTTAATTTTATTTTACGAATTCAAGTGTTAGGCTTGATGCTGAGTTTACACTTTATACCCGACGGAATGTATGGTTTTGGTGGGAAGCTGTGCTAGAGCGGCGCAGAGCTCGCGGCCCAAGAGAAGCGCCGTGGGCCCCGGCCCCCGGGGCGGTGCGGCCGAAGCCAAGGGCTGTCCTTGCAGCGCCCTTCCCCGACCCTTTGCCAGCAGCGTAAGGAGGGAAACAAAAGCACAGTAACTCAGAGCACAGCATGGGCGCGCGCAGCTCTCGCGCCCTGGGCCGGCGGGCGGCTCCCTTCCGATGCAGGTGGTTGCTGGTGGCGTAATTGAAGGAAATGTGATGGTTTTGTTCAACAGTAACCTTCTGTACAGGCGGAAAAGTAAACATTCCTCCTTGAAAAAGTTGTAAGATATAATCTGTTTGAGTGGGTCAGCTCCTGTGAACCTCACTGTGTGTGTTTCTACGACAAGAAAAACTAAATCCCAGTCCCGTTTGTATTTGTACTACTGCTTGTTTGCTACAGTAGCTTCAATGGTTTCTAGAGGTGTAAGTATGTGTTAAAGCAGGTAGCGTAGCTCTAGCCTACAGCCCGGCGTAGGATGTAACGCCTTTTTTCAGGTGTCCTAACCAGTTTCGCTCTGTTCGTCAGTTGTTTGAAGTCATGCTGGGACGTTGCAACGTGTGAAGTGGATCTCACGAAGTGATGTGGAGTTTAATTCAGTGACTGTAGCTCTTCGGGTAGGTTTTGGTCAGCACACAAGACTGTCGGCATTTACACCCACACTAGTTGCAGCCCGCTGCGCCTTGGTACGCGGAGAAAAAAAGAGAAAAGACCAATCTGACTGAAGCTGCGTAGTGACAACCCAATGATCCTGATGTTTTCTGAAGTGAAAACCAACTTCTCTAACTTATTTTTACATGTTTACAGGCAAACTGCTATTGCAAACAGTATCTTTTCTAACACTAGCTTACAGAGCATTATTTTGCCGTCATCTAGTGTAAAGTCAACTCCTACTAACGTGTAAAGCTTGTTCCTGTTGTACAGAAGTTACCTGTTGTTTAAAATGAATGGTTTAAAAAAAAGTGCAAATGGGAAAGTACGTGTCAGTGTTTGTATGGGTCCCTTCAGAATAAAATGCGTTGGAAGGCACTGGAGCAGGAGTGGGATGTCCGTCTCGTGGGACGGGGCCCAGGCGCTGCCCTGCGCGCAGCTCCGTGCCCTGTACTGCCAGCCCCACGCGGGGCTGAAGRCGGCGAGGGCAGAGGGGAGGCAGCAGCATCGGGAGCCTGGAACAAGGGCTCTCATCCCTGGCTGTGGAGTCTCCTTCTCTGCAGATCTTCCCAACCTGCCTGCCTGCCACCCTGGGTGTCCCTGCTGGAGCAGGGGGGCTGGACTAGGTGAGCTCTAGAGGTCTCTTCCAACCTCAGCCCTTCYGTGATTGCAGAAAAATTGCAGAAAAATAGCCTTTTTCTGCAATCACAGAAGGGCTGAGGTTGGAAGAGACCYCTAGAGACCACCTAGTCCAGCCCCCTGCAACAAGCAGCAGGTTCCACAGAAAGCCCCAGTTAGTTTTCCCCTTCCCTGCCATACACAGAGGTCTTGCTGAACAGCACCTAACCAGTGCTTGGGCACAAATAAGGGGCTGTTGGCACCTCTCRCCACGTGCTGGTACACTGAGCATCAACGAACGGCACATTTGGCAGCGCTAGCTCACATGCACATAGTTCCGTTTGCTAGATTAATTCTCCAGGAGAGATTTGAAATGGCTTCCATTACTTCTAATAGTTCCAGCCTTAATACACAATTTTCCTCGGAGGCCAATCCTAAAAACTCTCCCCAGAAAATACATCAGTATTTATACTTATCTACCGTATGGAAAACCAAAAATGTGGATGCCTGAGAACAAAGCAGAATCAATATTAATGCCAATGTCACCACATGTAATGTAGATACTCAGTTGTCTATTAGAACACTATTAAAAGAATATTGAATCAAGACATAAAAAAAAAAATCTTTTACACATTTCTGTTATAAACCGATAGTGAAGAAAAAAAGACAAAGGAGGTTTAAAATATATATAATTAAATCTTGAATAAATAGATTTCAATGTAGTTAAGTAAACAGACATTACAGTACCAACAAATACAAATTTACATTCACCAAATGTGAAGGCATTTTTTATACTTCATCTCTACTACATTATTTTAAGAGCCTAAYTATTGCTTCTTCCTGTTATAAAATAGTTGTAAAAATACAAGAGGCACGTTGTCAAGAACAGTAAATCACAATTTTCATCACTTTTTCAATTACATTTCATCCCATAGACACGTAATCACACAGATAATGTGCATGGAAACTTCAAAAATAAAAATCCAATGTGATAAGGCAACCTGGAAAACTCCAGTACAATAACTTCTACACTGAAGAGGTAAGAGGATATTATCAAAGGTGTTGTAGAAGATTTTTCCATAGAAGTTGACTTTATGTTTTAAATATCAGCAAAACCCAAACCTTGAAAGACATTCTTAAAAGATTTGTGCAAAAAGATTATTCTTTATGTTTTGACTTCTAGGTAATTTTATATAAGTTATTATAAAAGATTTCCAAAATGGAATTGCTCKGAGAATGCTTTTGTTTTGAATCATTTTTGAATCATTTGATAATTTACTGCTGTTATCAAAAATATATACAAAACTACGCAGGATAGGTTTTTGTGCTCTTCAGGCCCACAGAAGCATGGTTTGGGCAACATATTAAATAAAAAAAACACACGAGAGAAAGCTACCAGTAGGCAGAGTGGGCACGTTTACCCRGAGTGCTCACCCTGTGCCCCGTCTTCCTGGGCTCGCTGCATCCCGGCCACATCCCTGCGGGCGCCCAGGGCCGGTCCCAGCTCTTGTAGCTGTTTCCTTTGGGCCGCTTCCAGTTCCTCCAGCCGCCTGCGGAGCAGGGAGAGCTCCCTTTGGTGCTGCTCCTCCTTGAGATTAGCATTCAAAACAGAGAATACTGTTACATTTTGAACACCTACAAAGACCAAGCTAATACCCATTCTCAGTAGCAATTTTAAAATAAAATTGGGAAGTTCAAAATGCCCTTGTCCTTTAAAAGGTTTTTTCCATAGTTTTTGTGGTTGCTGTTCAGGCAGTTGTCACAAAGAGCATGGCTGAGAAACACGCTCGGGCATTCCTGCTTGGCACACCGAGCTGAGGCCTCGTCTCGCCCACCTAGGATCACGAAGTTCAGCCTAGTCAACCTTAGAGAGATTTTATCTCCCAAGAGCTCACTGAAATAAAGTGCCTTTAACCACACGAGGTATCAAAGGCAGCAATACTCTTTCTTACTAGTGAAAACACGGTCTGAAAAATAACACGATGGTACTTGCTCATCCAGAGGAAGCATCCAGAGGCCTCTCAAGAATACGGTGAAGTACTGAGAAGAGGGTTAAATCTGCCTGTTGGCAGTGTTSTGGAGCACTGTGCCCTTGTCTCTCAAGAACTCTTCAAGCAGGGAAGAGCACTGCAAGTGTTCCTGAAAGGTCACAGCCCCTGTGCAGAAACCAAATATTCCTTCCTCGAGACTAGGGCCTACTCCTGCCCTCCCACCCTCTTTGGCTGCATTACCTGAAGAAGGGGGAAGGAGACCTGAGGGCCAGGGGCCAAGGCAGAGGGCCCCGCGAGGGCTGCGCTGAGCGACGGTACGTCAGGGCTCAGGATTAAACTCCGGAATTCGTTGTGGCGGCGCTGCAAGTCCTTCAGTCTCTTCTGGAGGCGCGTGTGCTCCTCGTAGGAGACATTCTGCCTAGAAGTAAGAGATATGTTATTGATCAAGCACACAAGCACACCTCTCCGTAAGTGCTCTGCTGTTTACTACATCTCTAAAGGAACTGAAGGTACAAGATCTCCTTATATATTTCAGCCTCCATGTCTCTCTCAAAATCTCTCTTCACCTCAGGCTAACTGCTGTATTATGGATTAGAATGTATTCAGTAGATGGAAGAAATTAAGATTTTAATATCATTATCAGTAGTGTGTCACAGAGAACATGCTAAATTAGTTATTTGAATCAAGCTCTCCCCAGGTGTTCAGTGGAGGGAGAAAGCCAGGCTTTCCAAGAGGGCATTCGTCTGACTACTTGCAATTCTGAAGTCTTTTTATTTTGCATCTTCTGTTTATTTTCACGTAGTCTCCTTCCAGCTCTAACACTGCTTCTCTGTGGTCCTCCTTTTATTTTTTTATTTTTTTTAAATTTTGCCTATCTTTCTTCCTTTGCAGGGAGCCCTGCAACTACAATTATGTTGTCTTCAGGCTCCATTTTTCCCTGAAGAGACTGCTCTGCAGCTGTCTTGTGAACAACCACACAAACACAGCTGTCACAAATTTCTTCTTTGAATAGAGTCTAATGATGAAAATGCCAATAAATTGGACGTCAGTTACTAAACTAAGTGGCAGATACTTAATAAAATACTTATCCRTAAGTCTGATTTTGGACATTTGTTGCCTTCCAAAAAATATACAAGCTAAGAAAAAGCAAGGTTATTACCTGTTTAGCACCTGATTTTCTTTTTCTAGTTCTTCTATCTTGGCTTCCAAAAGCTCCARTTTCTCTTGCATCCTCCTG